GATGGAGTTGGCTGTGGGAAGGCAAGATGACACGATTGTGGGAAACGACGAGCACAAATTTGGAGTCGAAGAAATCGGCCATATTTCAACGGAGCAAGATCCGGTGAGATTGGAGACGATAACAAAGTTGGTGCTAGAGCAAAAAAGTAGATGGTTAGGCCAAGGTAAAGACATATTCTAGTAACTTGCAAAGCTAAAGCCTTTTTCTGGTTTGTTGATTATTGATTATAGATCTGGGTTGTCGATTTGCAGTGAAATAAGGGTGCTTTGATTTTGTATCTTTGTAGATATGGTCGTTGATTCTAGTAACCGGCCAAGCTAAAGCCATATTCATCAGTTCAGGGAATGCCAAGGGATGAAGATGAAAATGGGTGTCTTGCATTTACATTTTAACTGGCACGCATATAAAGCTTTGGCGATTTTTATATTTGTGTAATTTGGGTTTGTTTGTTATATTTACACTTGAAAGTGAGGATGCATCATCGAGGCTTCATCATTTTTTTTCCTACAAGCCGTGAAGAAGAAGGGAGCAAGGTTGGGGAAGGAAATTAAGATGACATGGGGACATAAATATCCTACAACTTGATATCCTAAACTTTTAATTGAAATAATATTGCTATGAAACTTTTACAATATCACCTCATCATTAAATCTATAAAATGTTGACTGTTATAAATAGAGCTGTCAATTAGGGCCAGTCCGACCCTAAAGGGCCGGCCCTTGAAGGGCCAAGGCCTAAACGGGCTGGCCCTAATAAGTCCAATTGCATGTCAGGGTTCCATTTTTTAAGGCTCGGCCCTAGCCCTCTGGGCTAAAGGGCTGGCCCTCAGGGTCTCGGCCCTATTTTTTTAAAATTATTTTTTTAATTAAAAATTATAAAAAATATATTTATAATCATAAAAAAAGTTATTATTCATAAAATTAAGTTTAAGAAAATAAATTTAAATCAATTTACACCACAACAATAAAGAAAACTAAAATATTTAGGTCTAATATTAAATAGTAACATCAAAGTGAATACCAATAAAAATTAAACTTAGTTAATATTATCAACTAAATCTTAATAAATAAATGATGGATGGATGAATGCATTTAATATATTCATTTCTTTGAGTTATGTATTTAATCTTTTATTTTTTTATATTATAATTTAAAAAAAAATTATAAACGGGCCTAAAAGGGCCGGCCTTTTTATTTTCGGGCCTAAAAGGCCACCCTTTTAGGCCCGATTTACCTTTTTAAAGGTAAAATAGAAGCCCGGTACTCAATTTTTTCGGGCCTAAAAGGGCCGAGCCCGTACCTTTTTAAAGGTAAAATAGAAGCCCGGTCCTCAATTTTTTCAGGCCTAAAAGGGCCGGCCCTACGGGCTCGGCCCTAATTGACGGCTCTAGTTATAAATAAATTTGACCAACAGTATTTTTACTCTCACTCCTCCTTCTACATTTTTGTCTCTGCCTCCTTCGTTTTTGTCTTCACTTCCCTTTTCTTCCCTCCTCCTCCTTCTTCTTTGTCGTCATCATTTTTCGGACTCAGCGGGCACAGCAAAGGTCTTTGGCGACAACCCACATCCTCACACGGCGTTAGATGCCATTTTGCTGCCAGTAGCACTGGAAAGATGTGGGATTGGAAATTTGGAATGGAGGACTGGAAGAGCATCTTGAATGAGTCACATGGTCAAGATCAATCTATCTTGAGGATGATTATGGTTGAAGACCCATAAGTGGGATTGAGCAAGCTTTTGCGGAGTGGGAATTGTTCTCACCAAGATGCTGTCAATTTCAATGGCTAAAGAGGAGGGGTTTCGATGTTGTGGATCAATGCTTTGTTCTTGACACTATTTCAGGTGCTAATTGAAGACCAAAATGCAAAAGGCGGGGACAAAATGTAGAAGAAGGAGTGAAAGTGAAAAATATCCTTGATCAAACTTATTTTTAACTGTCAAAATTTCATAGATTTAATGATGGAATAATATTGCATCATTTTTTAAAGTTTTTAAATAATATCACTCCAATCAAAAGTTTGGGATACAAGGCACCTTTTGTGAAAAAGGTTCTAAAATATTTTTTCCCTTTAACCCAATAAAAAAAAAAGTTGGATGTACTGTGTGACCCACTCGATAAAGTTAACACTATTTGCTCTTCAGGTCAAAATTTTACCATTTTAAAAAATATCAAAATAATATTGTGGCTTTAAATATTTTAGGATACCATTTGCACATTCATATTAAGAGTAGATTTGTATTTTAGCCCTATATATATATATATATATATTAGAATTTCAATTTGAGCTTGTCTAAAGAATTTCATAATTTCAATTATCTCATAACCTTTTATTTATTCTCTAATCACTTCTTCAACTATTAAAAGGACTGCAAGTTTCAATATTACAACTATGCCAAAAAAAATTCTCAGTAAGAATCTCGACTATTCAATGGAAATCCAAAATAAATCCAATTACTTTGAAACTTTAAACACTTGTTGCTTTATTCAAAATTCTAACTCCTGATTTCAAGTTTAAACAAAACTAAACCATTATAAGTTCAGTAGTACCTCAAACAAACCTGAATCAATCATTTAATTTGAATTAAATCTGTACATATCTATTACAAATAATAAATTTTCAAATTAAAACTGTAATTTTAAATCCTCAAATCCATCAACGGGGTAAATCTGAATCGATAGAACTCAAATACTATTTTATCTCTACAATCTTATAGTATTCAATTTTTAAAACCCAATGCTTGATACAAAACCTAATTCTTAAATTTGCCCTATTCTCTGAAAGAATCCTGCTATTAGATCATGATAAGTAGATCTTAAAGTGTTAATTAAATTAATAACAAGATCTAATTATATAATAAATAATCCATAAAAGGTCCACATGTCTAGATTTCATTGAAAATAAATACATTAATGAGTTATAAGTTTTTCACTTTAGAAAATATTCATGGAAAGAGTTTTGTGAAAGGGAGTGATGACTTTGATTCCCAAAATAAGCTTAAAAGTTAAAACTTACTTGCAAAAATGGCGGAAGGCGATGTCTCTGCCTCACTCGACTGAAACCGACGCGGATGAGGGAATGAATTTGCTGTGTATTTTGAGTGTAAAGCTAAACCTTATGAAAATGGCCTGGAAGTATATGGGGTTAGGGGAAATGTTAATTGAATGAACGTGGCCTAATTGTTAAGTGCGTGTTTGGATAAGCAAAATATCGATTATAAAAGCTTAAACCATGGTTTTGTAAAAAAACAAAAAAAAAAAACAAAAAAACTCAAACACCTTTTATTTTTCAATATCACGTTTTTTTTTGAATTGAAGGCCATGGGTAAACCGTGCTAATTGACAAAATGAGTCATATCAACGTACAAGATATTACAACAACCAAGCGGCAAGATATCAAAGATACGAATACATAAATTGTCGGTGTAAGTTTGATGAGATAACTAATCGGCACATTTGTTTGCCTTCCTGAAAATGTGGTCGAACGTGATTGTCCAATCTCACATATAGTGAGGTCTCTAATTCTATTGATGATAGTATTGAGTGGGTGGATAGTAGAGAATTTATTGTGGATTAGCGAGAAAGCTTTTGTAGAGTCAGTGTAGATATTAACTTTCTCAAACTTCTCAGCCCAACAAATGTTTAAACCTTCCAAGATGCTTATGAGTTCGGCTGCTGTACTTGGGTAATAACCAAGGTATTTGGAGTAACCTTTGATTTAATTTCCTTGGTTGTTTTGGATAAGACCCTTGCATTTAGCTGCACCATGAATGTTGATAGAGTCATCAGTATCCAATCTAACCCAACCTTCTTTAGGAGCAGACCATATAGGTGTTGCTTTATCACCCTTCTAAGTTAGGAAGTTAATTTTATTTTGAAGATATTGATCTCTAAAATCATCTTGGATGCTGGTAAAAGTAATGTCTCTATCTCGGGTGTCTTCTTCCAATGTCAATTTTTGCACCTTTCTTTTCAAATGTTCCAACACATGTGGGCATAAAGTTTTTGTCAAGAGATTTTCCTTACACAAGCGTTACCTTCATCATTCCTTGCATTCCAAATTATCCAAATTACCTGCATCAATACCATGCACGTTCTGCACTGCAAATTCTGTTTTCAAGTAAGCTGACTTTTTGAGATTTCGCGTGTCAATTATATCTGCTGGGCCATTGCCAGGTATACCCTTCTCTTCATTGGGTAGCTCTTAATTGTATAAAAAAATATATTATGCTTAAAAAAATCAGTTTAAAGATGTTTCTTTTCTTTTTTTTTTTTAAATTTTTGAGAACGTACAAAAAGTGAAAACAGTTTTGAATCTAAAACACTAATTACCTAAACAAGTTTTATTTTTTATTTTTTTACTCTTTTGTTTTTAAAAACTGAAAGCAAACACGTACGCCTTAGGTATCTATTAAATTTATATATTTGAATCTAAAGCCCTTGGCCAAAAAAATCTAATTAATGAACCCTGTTTGAACAAATATTGTAATTTATTGGGTTGGCAAAAAAGATATTGTAACTTATAATTCATTAGAGTATTTATTGCTTGATAAATTGATGATTATTCTTAACAAATTCGACGACATAATCGATACTCTTCTCAAATTTATCGCCAGGTGATTTACTTTATATACAAAACTTATCCCTCGTCGGTTCCAATTCCTTATGCCTCTGCAAGGATCAAAACGGTACGCCAAAGCCCTCCTTTCTTCTTCATCAGTCTTTTCTCTTTCACACATCGCGATCGTGACGTTTCTAGTTTGTTGTGTTGCTGAGTAGTTCTTTTATATTGTTATTAAATATAGTTATATTAAAGCATGCATTTTCAAGAACCGACGTAGCATTTGATTCAAAGTCAGATAACAGTTCATGTTTTACTTGACAACTAGTTATAGATTTCTTATGTACAGTTCCAAAATTTCTGTTCTTGGATGAAGTTTCTTCAAGAAAGCTATCTTTTTGTATTGGTTACAGAAAGCTATAATTTTTAACCGAATGAAAATGGAGGAAAAAAAGAACTGGTCCGATCTGCATTCCGATCTTGCCTCGACAATCTCAGAACAATTAGGGCTAATTGATCTTCTCAGTTTTCGTGGTGTCTGTCATTACTGGAGATCATCTTCTTCACATGCTTCAGCCGAAATCGAATCCTCAATACCCAAACCTTGGTTCTTGTTATACGGTGAAGCTGCTCAATGTTCCTTATTAACCAACAACGATAGAATCTACAAGATTGAGATTCCTGAGATGGCTGAATCGACATGTCTCGCTTCTTTCGTTGGATGGCTTCTTCTGTACTGCAAGAATGACGATTCACTCTTCTTCTTTTGCCCATTTTCTAGGGCAAGAATTGAAATCCCTCGATGTCCATTAACCTCAGAACAATCAGAATCAGAATCAGACCACCTTTTTGCAGCATTTTCATCTTACCCTACGAATCCAGATTGTACTGTAGTAGCCATCAAGCGCAAGGATAAAGAAACACTGAAACTTTGTAGGCTTCATCGTGGTGAATCTGAATGGACCTTTCATGAGCATATATGCCCAATCGCATTTCTTGATAGGATAAAAAGTAGTGCACTTTATAAAAGAGCTTTTCACTTCTTGGCTGAATCATCAAGAGCATTAGTGTCATTTGAATATGATACGATGAAATGGTTGAATTATATGCTTAGCCCAACTAGAAACCCAAAGATAGATACTGCTGAAAAATTGGACTACTGGGTGGATAAGAATTGGGCCAAGAAGGAATCTTTCTCTTCAATGTCTGATAAGATGAAGAAGCTTCTTGGAATTGAAGATCCTTGTTCTATATCAATATGTGGGGCTATGATTCTTAGAGGTGATGCTAATGATCGTGTGATTCCGCATGAAGTTCTTGAGGACGATCAGTACAAGGAATCTATGCTACGTAGGGAATTGAAAGGTGTATGGCTCCAACCAAGATTCCATCAAATATCACAAGATCAAAGATGGTGATGATGAAGAACTTGCATATATAGTAGTTTTTTAATAAACCTGGATCATCATCTCTGTATACAGTTTATTGATCAGTTTTGAAGTGAACTTGATAATTTTGCCTAGTGTTAGATGTTTTGATTTGAATATTTGAGGTTAATCAGGATTTCCTTTTGGTCTGATCTACTGGCACATTTTGGAGATATTTCTCATTCCTTGATCTAAAATTTGTTTCTCTTTTTTTAGACTTCTGATCTAATGTTTAGTTGAATTGCCAATGATGAGTTTATCTTTTGTTGAAAGGAGTAGGATTTACATCAGGATGAAAATCTGAAATATGAACTAACAAAGACATATATATTTGCTTACAACTTTTGAGAGATCAAAAATTTTTTTTAGGAACTTTCAAGCTGTTTGAGTAATTGTTTTAATTCAGAAAGTTTATTTGCAATGTTTTGAAAATGATCCATTTTTCATAAGCTGATTTGGATTACTTTCCAAAAGTTACTTTTAATGTTTAAACAGTTTTCAATTACTTTCCAATGATGAAAACTGACCTTGATTACATTTCAAATAATTTTTAGTTTGTGGAAACTTGTTAAAAAATATATTTAAACATTAAATTTCATTACAATGGTTAATTTTTACTAATTTGATATTTCGTAGAATAACTTTTGATAATAATAGTAGGTTGGAAAATAAGAGTCTGCCCATCATCTCATATTTTTCAATAAAATTGAATAATTGAAAATTTAAAAAAGTATGATTTTTGAAAAGGTTATAATTATTGACTACCTTTAACTAAGCTTTTTAATTCAAGAGATTCACGCGAAAATGAGCTTATATTTGGTTAGGACTGAAATGGCTGATGGATAAATAAATCCTGTACTCTAATCCTAAAAATTGTGTCCCTTTAAAATTCGAATACCATGCGTATTTCATGTAGAATTTATTATAGTTTAATTTCAATTCATGAATTAAACTAGGATAAACGTAAAGGGATTACATTTTAAAAAAATTAAAAAAATTATGGTCAATTAAAAAAATGATGATAAAATGTTTTTAAATTATATAAATGACAATTTATTTTTTCAAAATACTATAATTTTATTAAAAATTTTAAGAACTTTTATATTAATAAATTTTAAATTAAAAATATTATTTTATTTTTTATTAAAAATAATAAGTCTATTAAAATTTATTAATATAGAGGTTTCTAAAAATTTTAGTAACATCATAACATTTTGAAGAATTAAATCATTATTTATATAATTTTAAAAAAATTTAAGATTAATTTTTTATTAAAAAAATTTATTATTAATTTTTTTAAAAAATTTGTCATTAAATAAATTACACTTACAATTACATTACCAAAAAAAAGTAAAAAAAAAAAAAACACACACACACACACTCTTGAGGACAAGACGTTGGGATAACAGAGAGGAGCGAGACAGGCCAAAGGCAGAACAAGATAATGGCTTCTTCGACAATGGCGTTAACGCTGTCTCCTTCGGTAACCCGTGGAGGCATGAGTGCTCGAAGTCCTTCAGCTTCCCTCACATTCCTTACTGGTTCTTCCAGACACAGGTCGCTGTCCTTGAATGTTTCCCACAATTCCTCTGCCTATCGTTCTTCGCTACTTCACTGCTCCTTCCTCTGCTCTTCTCCGTCTCTCTCTTTCCCCTCTTCTGTTTCCGGTAATTATGCATAATCGTGTTTCTTTTCCTCTTAATGTAATTGTTTCCGAAGCCTACTGTGACTTGTGCTTTAATTTTTCTCTCAGTTCGGTTCAATTGAAATTTCAAATCTTTATAGCAATTTCGGAGGGGCTTGCTGTGTTAATAGGTGGAAATTAAAAAAAAAATGAATTGAGCAGGTTCTCATATGCGAAAAAACATTAGTAATTATTTTTTAGACATAGTTCTGTGAGAATAGAGGGCAGTGAGAGATGATAGAGGTGGTTTGACGAAAGAAGTGAACACAACTGATTTAAACATTCTCTGAACCCTTGTTTTACTCTATTTTTACACTGCTAAATTGCTAACTGAATAATTCCTATTTTATCTCTGAGGTAGATGTCAACGAGGAACAGGAGAATGACAAAGTGTGTTATGGTTTTACTCTATTAACAGTGAATACTTCACAGAAACGTGATTGATGTTCTGGTTTTCTGCTCTTGTCATGCTTAATCAGTTAATTAGTCATTACTTTTTCACATTTGGTTTACGCCTCTCTCAGCTAACTAACAAATATGAATGAGAAGGAGCCTGTGTTGTTATGTATGATACGTAGAATTTTGTTTGATTTTGTTATTTTCTGACCTTTTGGCATTCTTAGTTATTTGTGATTTCAAGAAATATATAACGAAGAGCTCTCTTCAGATTAGGGTTGACTTTACTCGGAGCTGATTTTCAATTTTCAGGCATATCACTGGGTCTGGATTTTAAACCTGATGTTGGTAATAGAAGGGGAAATGGTGGCAGGCTAGTTGTTAGGGCAGGCAAAGCTGCTCTTTGTATGACCAAGAGGAACAGATCACGCAAATCACTGGCACGGACTCATGGTTTTCGCAGACGGATGAGGACTACAAGTGGAAGAGCAGTACTTAAGCGCCGACGTGCCAAGGGACGGAAGGTCCTTTGCCCAAAGTCTAATCCAAATAGTGGCAAACGTGCTTAAGTTTATTCTATTTCATTAGGTAAAAGCTTTAATTCCCATGAACTTATTTAAATTCCGAGCCCCCGTTGAACTATTGGCTTTTGTAATCTCTATATCTCAAGAAAATTATCCTTTCTTATGACCAGATCTTGTTAATTGCTTGTTAGTTGTTCCAAAGCCGATTGCCACCAATCACCCTTACTGAAATGACTAAGTCAGTCGTTTTAGGCAATTAGTTGTGCGTGCACGATCTTCCTTATTATTGTTCTATTCGACTTGTAATCATTGGTCTTTACTCTTGTGTTTCTATTCTACATTATCTCATTGTTTACATTTGCACCTACATTTTATCTTTACATAATCCATTTTAAACTCATTTGTCTATCACAAAGGGTCTGCTCTGTGTTAAAACTGAGGAATCATATTTGAAAAGTGTCGGTACATTCCTTTACTTAAGATTCTACATCAGAGGGTACTACTACAGAATAAAGGTTTAAGACTCAACAATTATATTTCCCTCCTTTCCCCTATTATAGTGGAGCGATCTTAATGTTGTTAGTGGTTAAGCCATTTGATACTTCATTCATGTTTATCTGCTTCATTTATAGTGGTTGGAGGTACAGCTGTGCCCCGAGATGTACTATTTTTGTTGAATTCTGATTAATCTTCACAGTTTACCCTCAACAGGTGGTATGATATTTTTTCCTTATTTTTTGATTTGATGCAGTTGTTGTGGTAACTGCTAACCATTATGCTAATAGGGATTACCAGAGGCACTGTGGATAGTAATGTTTTGAGAACCAAATCAGTTGTTGAATTGTTGGAGACGTTGGTTAAAAGTTTATTTGTCTGATTGTAGTTGAACTATGGTCCAATTGATCATAATTAATTTAATATAGTTGTATTTTATGTAAATATAATCATATAAAAAATAAAAGACCAGTTTTTACTGGGTTTTTTTTTTTTTTTCCATCAGTTTTCAATAGCTTAATTCTTGGGCTGGTCAGGACCTAACCAAAATATATAGTTCACTGGCTCACTTGTCTAACCAGTCTGTCTGATTCAATTTGTGTTTATAACCATGATGGCCAATATGAATCTAGAGTCGTGTCTTCTAGGATTGTTTTGGTGTCTATTGACTTAGTAATGTCTATGATGAAAAACATGTCATGAGGCTAGAATTGAGTTAATAATCCTTTTTTTCTGATGAGACAAGAAAATTTCCCTTTTCTGATAATAAATTTGTATCTGAAATCTGAATTATTTAGATGCAGTGATCTTAGTTAGATTGCCACCTTATATCCTGCATTAGAGAATATTGATCATTAACTCGATAAAATGATTGATGTTTAGGTTGAACTTTTCTGCAAAATACCAGTTCCTTGGATAGATGCAGCTGTTTCTTTTGTTCTGTCCATTCATGCATATCTTCTGCAAAACTGAACAATAATAATATATTAAGATAGCGTTGGAAGATGGCTAACTTGGCTGAGATGCCCAATTCAAGATCTAGTATTGTGGTTATTCTTAAAGCATGAACGCTATTATTCTAGATACTTAAAGCAGACTTGTGGTTGTTGCTTTGACAAACTGTGATGCATGACTCATTTATTATCTTTTATATCTTGGGAGTGTCAGTATTGAGAATTTTTATTGCATATCATCTTATGAATGGTGCTCTTTAGGTACTCCTAGAAGTCAGAAAACTGAATTTAGGTCATTAATGGATTGGATTGCAAATAGATTCCAGAGAAATTAAGATGATTATTATTATTATTATTTTGAAAAGACAACCCAGAAAGAAATTAAGAAAACAACTCATGCAATGTTGGACTCTTCAGGCCTAGGAATTAGAGTGAGCCCAACTCAGGGCAATGTCTAAATTATTCAAGTTGAGTTTCAGACCGGTGTATTATTATGCTACAAATTGAACTCCTAAAGCTACACAAGTTTTTATGTCTGAAGACTTTTCATTGATACTGGTCAAGATACACAAGTTGGTGAGATTTCCACCTAAGGCCATCATTTGCATTTTCTTTCCTACTAAATGATGTCATCATTCTAGAACTAATGAGATTGAAAAGTCCAAAAAAAGTCTAAAAAGAAAAGGGAGGAAAAGAAAGCTCAATCAGTAAGGCAAACTCTTGGAACTTGTACTGATTATTAAAGAATTGAACTTAGAGAAGATTCTCCAGCCGCAATATTTGCTCTCTCAGTAATTATTTCCATATTCCTATGTAAACTTTCCTTGACCAAACTCTTCATCATTCTCTTCCCTTCCCTTGCCTCCATTTGATTCAGAGGTGAACCCATAGAAAAGGTTGTTCTTGATGTTTGTGGGCCAGAATGTGGGCCCATTCTCACTTGCCTTTCATCCTTAAACCATTGCAACAGTTTTGAAGCTCTCTTCTGAGCCAAAGTGCTTCCCAATAAAACCACTTCAAGAAGCACATGAACAATCCCTGCCTTGGCCATCTTCTGTCTCTGTGATGAGCTTTGATGAGCGAGAATCATCAGAATATAAGTTGAAATCTCTTGACATTTTGGCTTATCTTCCCATGACAAGATCTCAATCAAGCTCTCTGGTACCATTGAGCTCTCTTCTATTGCTTTCTTCCCCATCAATGTCACAATTAAGTTCCCAAGTGAGGCCAGTGCTCTCTCTGAAAGTTGTTTTTCTGATGAAAGTTCTAGAAGTATGGGAATAAACCCACTAGAAACTAAAGGCCCTGCATTCTCTAAAATAGCTGAGAGATTGAATATGGCTCCTAGACATGACTGTTTGGTATCAAAGCTTGAGTTTGACTGAAGAATGTCTCTGAGAAATGGGAGTAAGTCCAGTGATGAAAAAGGGTACTGTGTGGTTGCTAAAGATGATAATGACAGAAGCAACTCTGAAATTTGACTTCTTGTCGATTCGTCTACAAGGTCAATCCTCTTAGGTAACTTGGACAATATTCCTGCCTCCACTACCATGGCCTTGTTCCTAAAGAAAGAACAAACTCTTTGGTAAAGAAACTAAAAACATGTTTCAACTAAGTCAAAGTTAGGTTCAAAACAAATATCAATATAATGTATTGACTCAAATTATTCAATAAGCTTCCCACTAGGTTGAATTTGTATATAAATAAGGACAGGTTTTTTAGGCAGATTCAACTTCCTTATAGATAAATGATTTTCCTTTTCGTTTTGTTATCACGTATATTTTGAATAAACCATTTAACGGTGAGAGAAGTCAATCAGAATCTGAAATCAGTATCAATGTTGGAAAGATCAGGTCGACAAATTGGACTTGACAATATAAATCTAAGATTATATAGGAATCTTACCAACTGACCTATATTTTATAACATGTGATTAATTAAATCTAGGGCAAAATATTGCCTCGAAAATATTTTTATTGTTACCATAGCTGGCAGTCAGGTAGTAGCATATAAATTTTGGAGATTTAATTATAAACATGCTTATTCTTCCAACTAAATACTACTGACACAGTACTGGAGTGACAGTGGGATTTTGAGCAAATTAATGTGATCCGAAAATAGTGGCAAAATGTATATTCTCAGATTTAGTGCCATCATTGGAAATTTAATTACGTTGATCACTTCTACAACATTTCAGCCTATAGAAGATTACTTTGGAATTCATCTTCTTCTGGTTCAACAAGCAACATCGTACTTAAGATTTTGGGGATCGGAGTTTGAATTTTAGTGGGAGCTTAATCCATGAAAGATGGTGATGAGAATAAGTTATTGGAGTATTATTGATGATTGTTGATTAAGATATAGTAGCATGTTTAAAGAGATTAACGAAGCATAAACAGAATCCTTATCCATTGAAACAGCAATAAAGCAGATAAAATCCATGAGCACAAGTCAGCCCAGCTAAGTTGAAAGAGCCAATACTGTTTTTTTTTTTTTTGGTTATATTTTAATAACCCCTTCAACTTCGGTTTACATCGTTGGCCTCTACAATTTAACAATAAATCTTCCCAAACCATTATATTGATGCAACTAATTTGGCCATTATTCACAAAAGAATATGATATGACAAGGGTTTTTCTACACATGATGACTTGTGTGAATAGTTATCTACTTTGAACTCATGTTTAGAGGGTTATATATGCACACACAAAAATAATGCTTAAAGGAATATGATCAATGACACATTGTGTTTCGTTAGTGAAATAACAAAATAAATTATAAAACAACTGATAATAAGGGTTTATTTACACAAACTTGAAAATTTAGGAGGGTATGTTTTTTCCAAAAAAAAAAAAAATAGTCAACAGGGTAATTTGCACCTGGTTCAAAATTTAAGAAAAATGTGTATAATTTAGCTTTAATAAAATTTTGAAAGATGCCATCTGAACCATATACCAGCCGAAGCTCACTGCCATTACTTTGTAATTGTATATTTACTGTAACCTGGTACTATTAAAAAATGTTAATGTTCAATTATTTAAGTAAAAATACACTCTTCTAATTTTACACAAGATTTTGTTTTAGTTTCTAAATTTTATAAAATATATTTTTAGTCTCTAACTATAATATTATTTGTTTTATTAACAAAAAATATTGATACTAAAATTTAAATATTAATAAAATATTTTTAAATGTTAACACATTAAATTTAATTTTTGAAATAACGATAATTGATGCATATATTATTAAAATTAATGGTGTTAGAATTATATAACTAAAAATACTTTATAAAATTTAAAAAAATTAAACTCAAATGTTATATAAAATTAGAAAATTAAATATGCACTTTTGAATATTATTCACAAAAACAAGTTGAGAAGAAAGTGACAAAAAAAAAAAAGCATGAGAAGACAACATGTAACAAGCATTCGTGCACCTTGTAGTGGAGATTGACTCATACAAATACAATTCTATCGATTGCTCCATATATCTTATTCATCAGTTAGGTCCTAACATAAAATTTAATTAAGAGATGTAATTAAATTAAATTATTTTATTTTGCATTAATTATTTTTAAAATTAAATATGATTAAATTAATGATAGAATATTTAAATTGATAATATAAACGCTAGCTACTAAATTCTAAGAATTTCTAAGTTCCACGTAACAACCTCAACTATTCATTTCACCGCCCGCCCACTTATTGCGTTATTCGAAATCTGTTCAACTAATGATTTCAAACGAAGAATCAGTCCAAACGGCGGCACCTTCTAAATATCTAATCTAAATAGGAATAATGAACAAAATCAACCACAAGATCAAATTTAAATTAAACTCAAAATTTTCCCATTTGTACACAATACCAAAATTCAAATGAATTATGATTCATGAACAGTGCGAAGTTACAAACCATCTAATTAAGATTAATCCAATTGGGAATTTCTTTTTTTCTTTTGGCAAAAAATTGGTTAATTTCTTGAAACAACGAAAATAGTCAGTTGTAGGTTTCAAATTTAATTATGTAATGTGAAGAAATAATTTGTTTTTGATTAGGGGCCTGAGAACGTTGAGAACTGTAAAACTTACGTGAAGCTTCCATCTGCGAGCTGAATCAACGCCATGACGGCGGAACTCCGGCGGCTGGATACGTCGGAAGCCACCATAGAGACGAGCACCGGCACGACGCCAAGCTCCATGATCAACTTGCGAGCCTTGACATCGCGTTTCGCCAGAGTTTCAATGTCTTTGGCTGCAATCTCCTTCTCGTCCCAATCACCAAAGTGGAGCTTCTTCACAGACCTCTGCAACAAAATCTCACACTCCACTTCCTCCTCCTCCTCCTTCTCCTCCTCTTCTATACTCTCACTCTGTTTCTGCGTAACTTTGATCATTTCAATCTTTTCAACCTGCGGCTTCTCATTCTTCTGATCGCTGATTTCTGATTTCAATTTTGATACGCGAAATTGATCGGACTTGTGGCTGCGTTTCCGAGAAGATTTGGATTGAAGAAAACGTTTGATTCGGGTGAAGAATTGAAGGTTTATGGAAGATGCAGTCCAAAAGGATGAAGAAGAAGGAGAAGAAACCATGTTTGGCTTGTGAGTGAGATAGAAAGAGAGAGATTGATGAATCTTTTTGAATTGAACCCTTTGGGTTTGTTCTCCTATTTATAATTTGTTCTATTTTAGACAAATACAAGAGAGATCATTGGAAGGCGCTATGGGAATTCCAGAAACAGGGAAAGCTCAGAGCACACGTGGAGGCACAGTATATTTCAGATCATTATTTAAAATACTGAATATATATATATATATATATATAATAAACACGAAAAATTATATTTAGGAGCATGATTTTGCAGAATTTATAATGAATGACTTAAACCGTTTTAAAGCATGATTTTAACGACATATTATAAATAAGATTAGTTATTGAACCGATCAAAATATATATTTAAAGATTAATAATTAAATTTGTAAGTGAATTATGATTATATTAATTATGATTGAAGAATTTTATTGAATAAATTAAAATACAGATTTAATAGTTTACTAATTCAATTTGTTAGATTGATCGACTTTCAATATTATACTTTAACCATTTAAACTATAGTCAAAATGCTTAAATAGTGGTTTATCATGGGTAGATCAAAATGCCCTTATTTAAAAAGATTGAAGAAGATGATGATAATTACTTTTCTTTTAACATTTAAATTAGTCAACATACTTTAAAAAATTGAATTTGAATTTTGTAGTCCCCTGGATTTACAACCGTATATTTTTTATGAGTATTTACAGCCATATATTTATATTTACTATTTTTCATATTACAAAGAGTTTGACGAATTATTTACATTAGCGCAATTTGCTAAATATTTTATATTTTAAACTGTTTTTAAATTTATTTTGATAAATCTAAGATCATTTGGATGATACTCCTTTATGTAACTGCGAATTAAACTTGCTTAAATTTAAATTTAAAAGTCCCTCATTTTTTTTCCTTTATGTAAATTTTTATTTTTTTCTCTATTTGTATACAGCATTACATGCAATAATTTTTTCATTGCTGATAGTTATTGATATTCTTTTATTGAAAGCAATAGTTCGTACAATAATTTATTTATAGTACAAAATTCTTGTACGAAAAGTTTTAATTTCTTGCAATGAAAAAAAGAAAAAAGCCACTGTTGGTAAAGCCTTAAGAAAATACAAATCGCAAGCCTCTAAAACCTTCTTAGTAATTTGAATTGTATAAGTCTCTAATTTTAAATTTTATAAAGTTGTGTTCCTTATACATAATTTTCCTAGAAAATCTAAATTAGGCCTAGAGATTGGGAAATGATAAGGAAAGACAGTTGTTGATCTCCCTAAATTAACAGTTAATTTTCTTAATAATTTAATAGCTCATCTGACAGATTTCTGTTTCTGAGATTTGCATAAATTTTGTATTCAATATAACCCAGAATTGTTTAAAAATTTAGGTTCATTTTGTTATTAAAAAGGAATAAAATAAAATGAATTGAAAAATGAAAATAAGATTATTAAAAGGGATAAAGGAAAGCATTTATAAAGAGGATGAGTAATTTAATTAGTTGGGAATTATGATTCATGAGATTTTTAGAGGGTGTGATAATTCTTATATTTATAGTATATATTAATAAGTTTTATCATACTTATTATAAGGAAAAGGGAGATTTAATTTATTTTTATCTTATTTTTTTATTTTATTTTATTTTATTTATTTCTAATGATCACATGAGATCTTGAGTGAATATCAACTAACCGGGAGATACCTAAAATTGTTTCTCTTTTCCACTATTATTTCGAATGACGGCTTACCATCAACGGAGTTTTTTTTTTTTTTTTTTAAATTAAACAAACACAAACACACCCAGTAATAACTAGTAATAAATTACTTATCATTAAGAGAGATTGAAACTTGTATTTTATTATTGGACATTGATATGGTCTTAAAATTATGGCAGGGGAAGAATTATGATATAATGATATATTTGGGATAAGCATGGATTGAATATAGAAGAAAAATTTAATCACTTACAGTATGAAGAACTAATGTTTAAATGTAAATCGAGAGAACTGTCTTACACTTATTGTTGGATATATCTGGTGTGTACTCCCTTCATTTTTATCTATTAAGGAAATTACCACTTTTAATTTTTTTACACAAAATTATATATCTCAATAAGTATTTATTACATATTTTGTAAATTATCCCTCATAATGTACATTAATAAAAAAATAATTAATACATTTTTATATTGATTAACACATGATATTTTAGCCCAACTTTTTTATTTTCAGGCATAATTATTATAATTAATTAGTTTTTTAAAATATATGATATAATTTTTTATTATACTCTCTCTATCCCTAATTCCCTGTATATAAGATATTTTCAATTAAATCACATAAATCAATAAAAATTAATTATTTAGTTAAAAATAATATTTTAATTTTATCCCCAATTATTGTAAAAAAAATAAATATTTTTTAAAGTAAATTAATGAGTACTTACTTTTTTTTTCCTTTTTAATGTACTAAAAGTATAATATTTTATTTATTAAAACATAAACTGATAACTTTTTATATTTAAGAATGAAAAATGTTTTAAAAAAATTATATATAAGGAGGGAGGAAATATATCGAAACATAGGAAGTTCATGTGCTCCGCCCAATCGGAAAATAATTATGAAAGAATGGGACCTACTCATCCGTTTCAACTAATATCATTCGTTAATCTTTAATAGGTAGGGTCCACATTGTAGGGTTCAAACTTTTGGTACGCCGGAATATAATATTATTTCTAAATTATGAAACCATCTAAATGAAAATTTATCTAAATAATATTCCAAAAACTTTTTGGAGGATATATATTTATCTTATTTTTTCATCAAAAAAATGTTATTCTTTCAAATTAAAATTTATTTCCTTAGGCAATAATTTTGAACAGCATAGACTCAGCATTAGGCGATAAGATTTTATCATACAAAATAAAAAGATAATAGTATGAATAAGAAACTAACGATCATATTTTTAGAAACAATATATTATTCAATAATAATACCATTATTATAATAAATATTTCATATTTTTATTTATATTAAACAAAATATATTTTCTTCAATCCAATCTAATTTGTCATTGATCGTCAAATACGCTTCTTACACATGCACCACTTACTTAGAAGGATATTTTATTTTATTGTTTCCCCAGTAGAAATGAAAGTAGCAAGTATGCTGCACTCAAGAGACTTCATACGTAGGAGCAAGCATTTTCTTAATTTGAATGATTTAAAAAATTAGTAAAATATAACGTGCCAAACTAAAATTTAAATTTTTATTTCTAACTTTTAATTATTGCAACTTGTTTGACAACCTCTTTTGAAAATAATTTTCTATTTTTTTAAAAAAAATTGTTTGGTAATGCCTTTTTAAAAGGTGTTTTAAAGAACAAACAAACAAAATATTGTTCTAAATAATAGAAAAACAAAAACATTATTGTTCTGGAGAATAAAGAAAAATAAAAAAAATACCTATTTTTATTATTATTTTGTTCTCGAAACATAATTTACAAAACATTAATTTTCAGAACAACAAAATAAAAATAATTTCAGACAGGCCTTAAGTGACTAAATGCATGTGTTTCATTCAGACATGTGAGTGTTTTAGACAAAACATATTTTCAAACCACAAAAAAGGACATGATCATGAAATTCAATTTCAACATTTTATAATTCTGAATGGTTATTATTGATTCTTGTCAGTCCTTAATTACGATTTTTCCTTAACAAAATCCTCACAGTACGTAATAGCAAGACTCATACTTTATAATGCATGAATCTCATCCTTACTAATTTAACAAATGTTACAATAGCTTTTTTGTGTGTGTATTACGTACCTAAGAGATATTACATATGCATGGAAGCATTAAACTTGAGTAGGTTTGGGATGTAACGGAGATCTGCATAGCACGTGAGGTGGATGTGATCCATGAATCTTCCTTTCTATACAATTCTTAATTAATTGCTCACAAAATCTGATTTGAATCAGCGTACTTGGCTTCTGATCTGATATTTCTCATGTGGAGTAATATGTTAATGTGTTTGATTGGGTTTTGGCCAATTCCCTTCATTTAAGGGCAAGGGGCACACACCACCAACTGGTCAATTGTTCATTAATTACAAGGATCCCTTAAAGATATGGGTTTTCATTTAAGCCATTAGTTTTCTTTTGCATTTAATTACAACGAAGCATTGCTTATTTATTCCTACCTATCTCATACTCTCTCTAGACCATCATATAAATTATAGTTAATTAATTCATAATTTATGAATAATATTAATTAGTTGAAATCTTAAATTTTTAAAAAATGTTCACATCTTTACATTTTTATCCTCATTAAATATCTTATATAAAATGCTTGATAATAGTAATTAAAATGTCAATGCATGATTTAAAAATAATAATAAATGAAGTAAAGCTATAGTTAAAAAAATAAATATACAAGTTATCCAATGCCCTATATTTAAAAATAATATATACTTTCTGTGGAGTATAAGCAGCTAAATTTTGATTTAGAACGAGAAAAATCCGATGCAAACTCTCTCGAATCTCTAAAAGTGTATAGCATTAATATAAAATATCATAAGTATATGAAGTTACGTTATTGATAAGCTATGAAAAAAGAATGATTCACTTTTTTTTTAATCTACACAGTGCTCGAAAAAATTTGTCTTGTTAGTTGTATGAATGTGTTTGTATTTAATTAATATTATTATATTAAGCTATTAACATGATTAATTAGAATTTTTTTGAATGAAATTTGATACTCTTTACCTTAAAAAATGCACTTAATTAGCATGTTACTATTTTTTTTACTTGTGTGACCTCTAATCTAATTTCGATCTTCAATTTGGTTGAAGCTTTAGAGATGAAAATAACAGCTCCAATCAATCTTCCATTCGGTTAAAATCGCTCCATGTATCTTGATCGAAAAAAAAAATCGCTCCACGTATAACATGGCAAAAATTGGTTTAGATCCTAAAGATTTGGCCCATGCTCTCTCTTTAGACTATATTATAAAACATTTTTTAAAAATTTTGTTTGATCAAAAATACAGGACATTGGGTAATTTTTATAATTATTTTTTTAACTATACCTCT